TGGCTGCGGGTTTTGGAGGATGAAAATGGGGAAAAGCCCAGGTGGCTTGGGATTTTCCTGGTTCGTAATCAGTCACACACACAACACACATTTTTTATTGAGGATATACAACTCTCTCAAGACACACATTACTTGTTTACCTATATTGTTGGGTATTTTCTTGGTTTGATGGGTCGTGGGAGCAGGGGCTTTGTGGCTTTTGTTGTTGTATGCCGGCACCGAAGGGGGTGGTAATGGGAAGCTGCCTCCGGTGGCCGAGCAGCGAAGAGGCCTGGCTGACTGCTTTTCGAAAGAGAAGCGGCTGGCTTGTAAGCACTGACGATAGAGTTGAGAGACAGATGGGCATTGAATCCCTGTTTTCCCACTTTCAATTTTGCTCCCCAAATCGTTATGTGACTTGTATAATGCGCGATTGATCAATCCCTAAAGGGTCTCTGGTGATGTATCAGGATCACGACTGTTGCAGTGAACCGATGCAACTTGCAAGACCCCGCAGGCCCCGATCTCAGAGGTGAGGTTTAGCCAGAACTGAAGCAGACGTCGTCAATGTACAGTTCGACGCCCCGCCCATTATGCCTATGGAGCTTGGACGTATGCATGTCCATCTGATGTGTCCCTTATGAGTTTGTGCGGGTAAGGCTGAAGAGAATCCGATCTGCCTCGAGCGCCCTGGGATGAAGGGCTGGTCGCAGCCGGGTGCTCTGTTACGCAGCAGCAAGGCAGACTTGGACATGTTACGTGAGGTCGCGTTTCGCTGAGTCTTGTGCTCTGTCCCAAGAGCAGAGATACAGCGTGGTACTGTCTACGGTCTTTACGAGAGTGTGGGCGGAGGAGGATCAACGTGGAAGACCAAGGGTAGTGTGAGGTCTCGACTGGCCGGCTGGTCGGCTGATGTCTGGTTGCCCAACTGCCTAGCTTGTGTGCTTGTCCATCACTTCAGCCTAACTTAGCGGAGGACGTTGGCGCGCGAGCCCGGCTGGTCGTGAGAGGCGGGGATGGATGGATGGGTGGGTGCTTGGAGTGCATCTGGCCAGCGAGACGGCGGCCCGCTAACACGAGGTCTTTGGGGGACTTTGAGGGGCGCTCTGTGTACCCTAAATAAAGTATGGTAAGCCGGGCGAGATCTGTCCATCATTGACTGCCTGTTCTATTCATTCGTAGCACAGAGATGCAATGACTGTGTCTTGTCTTCTGAGATATGTTTGATTTGCGGCTCTGAGAGAACGGATGGGATGGGAACGATACTAAGGCATTGTGGACTCGGACGATTGCGCTTTGGGTGTGGTGTGGACGTTTTGACGGAAATTTCCGGCGGTATGGTATGGGATATTGCCCGATAATTCGAAGAACGGTCGGGAGCCAGGTGCCATGCTGCGCTGCTGCAGGCATCAACGGATGGAAATGAGATGAGACGGCGTTACTTTCCTGGACGCCGGAGCGGAGGGGGTCTGTGGCACCTTGCGGATGGGAAATGCAGCCGGATACGGGGAACTCTAATCATTTCGCAGTGAGGTACTGCAGAGATCGGGTAGGGTGCCTTTCCCCCTTCTTCCCTGCAGTATCCGTAGTGGTATGCAGTATTCTGTAGGTCTCTTCAAGATCCAGGAAGCCCCCTGCATTGTCTATAGGCTACCAGCCATCGGCCACGTTCGTCTGAAGGACGACGACCGTCTTGCGCTTCTCTTTCGTGTGCTAGTTGAACTCACGTGAGATGATGTGAGTTGGGGCAGTGTAGGTACACAGTAGTGTAGTATAGGTGCGTGTGGATGCTGTCAGCGAATTTGCTGCTTTCTGTCAATCGCGTGGTTGTGGAATAAGCTACAAAGTATTTAGTTGGACTTGCATCTGCCACTTGAAGGATAGTCTTCTTTCGTCCACACCCACACATGCACAGGACATTTGCCAAGTCATGGATGACGGGCAGTGTTGGTGTTGCTTTCGCATTCGCAATGTTTCAAAGCGTGCGGAAACACCAAGAAAAGTGTGTAATGGGAGCTGTGACGGTCGCCAAGATGGTCAATGACTTGTTGAAGTTGCCTTTGAAGGATGGATGGAGGGATGGCTGACCGATCGAAACCCTTCCCTGAGATCGTCCGCAGCTTCCGACGTCCGTTCGGATAGCAGGCAGGTTGTAGGCGGAGCGGGTCCTGCTGTGGTTGGAGTTCTGGATATGGGCGGACAGCCCGGTACGTACTGCCGTACCCTCAGGGAGGAATGGAAGGAATGGGTGGGTGTTGGCTCCTGCTTCGCTCGCACTTTGGCAATTCCAAGCTGGGAAGTTGAGGTGCATCCCATCTTTTGCCCAATGACGTCCTCAATGCGGGGGCACGGCAAAATATCGAATGGGCTGCTGCAGTTGCCAGTGCTGCTGGCCTGCGTGCCTGCCAGTCGGAAGCCGGGTCTTTCCCATAGGTTTTCTCCATGCCGGGGGCGCTGCTGCTCTCTGGCGGCTGGCCACCTGAACTTTTCTCTTTCGCTCCCCGGTCCTTGACGAGAAAAGTCTCTACTTCATCGCTCTTCATTCGCTCGTGTGCTATACGGAGTACTTTTTTGCTGTTTCTCGCGCCCGACCTGCCGAGCGCGATGGCCCCACGGATTCTTGGATCCAACCAACGTTTCCTCGACTCCGCGAACCGCGGATGAGCGCGTGGTGGGTGAGGAGCTGTTCCGCGGGCTTTTTATTGATTCGTACGAGTACTTCGTAAGGAAACATCGGGCAACAAGATGACCGTGGCAGTGCAGAAGAGGCGCCAAGCCCGCATCAGAGACTCAGACAGGTCCTCCCACCTTGAGGCTCGCCTTGCCAAATTGTAGTAGCCCTTTCTCCATTGATTGGGGGCTCCAGTACTACGACTACGTACTCCGTACATACCTAGGTACTCATTTCTGAGTATTCCCACACAACGCCCCAGAGGTCCAAGACCAACCCACCTAGTCACCGACTCACCAGTGAGCCGCGGCCTGATAATCTTGACTTTTTGCCAAGCATCTCGTCGTCGTCCATACTTGCGTATTGAGGGCGGCGCAGCTCTGTACGCTGCAACCTTTTCGGCTCTATTCGTGTCGTCTACTCGCGGGCTTTCTACCACGGGCCAAGAGAAAGGCAAGAAACTGCCAAGGAGCTCTCATCTACTTTCCCTTTAGGTACAGAGTATCTAATCTGCCAACGATTGACGAGTGCAATTGATGGGGGAGCATCGATCTAGTTCCATTTACGGGGACCTTCCGCCGGCGCTTCCTTCGGCGTCCGCCTCTTACGGGAATACAGCACCGCCCAGCCTGCCAAATTTTTCCCTTGACGTCTCCCGTCCTCGGTTCGAGGCTGGCCCGCCTTGTTTACCACTCAACACCATTGTTCAACAACATCAACACCATCAGCATTTTCCTAAATTGTTAATCTTCAAGACGACTACTCTCACTCACTTACGCACTATACCCGCCCGTGACGTCGCCGTAATCGCAGATCCTATCACTTTCCTAAGACGCTTTCAGTTCTCCCTCCAAAAGCATCTATATACGCTTCTGTACAGCTTTTAGCCACCTGCGCTGGCCCGGCACTTGGAGATCCCACGACTCCAAAGGACCACGCCACATCCAGAAAGGAACGCGCCGCCACCACCAAGACGAGCCCAATGAAGAGCTTCATGGCCGAGCCACTCTGGTGAATCCGGGCCGCTTTCTAAGGGATCCGTCTGGAACAAGCCCATTTTTGCCGTCCTTCTAGTCTCGAGCTAGCCTTGACCAGCTAACCACCACTGTGGTTCTCGATCCGCGCTTCTGGGGGCTAGACTGAGACTGCCACTGCTCAGTGAACCGCCTAGACAGAAAGCGACCAAGCCTCGCCTCGCGCGCCCCTCAAGAATGGACAGGCGGCATCTGGGCGACGCCCCTTCACAACAACATGAAGACGCTGACCCCGCCCCAAGAACATCGTCGAGCTCAACCTCCTCTGACCATAATGACAACGATCTTCATGACACATCCTCGCCATCTGTGAACCCCGCGCCGCGCGCAGCGCAACGACTTCACCCGAGACGAGCCATCACCGAACCCATGGGGAGCAAAGGCACCCTCGACGGCGGCCATGTCCGTTTCTCGGACGAGCTTCAACGCGACTCCAGGCGCAGCTTCGACCCGCCATCGTCGCACCCCAATTCAAATAGGCCAGGGCTCTATACGATTCCCTCGAGGGGCGATCTTGAGGGCCATATCCAGGATGAGCCCTCGTCCTCACGAACTCGACGGGGCAGCGACCACAGCTCCGCGCAGCCTTCAGACTCTGACCTCAAGTATCCAGTCTACCGGCCAGAGCCAACGAAAAGGACGAAATGGCGCGTTGCGCAGGAGTCGGTGAGCGACCAGCTTAAGAAGGCCTACAATGTGTACATTGTGCAGGGATTATTGCGACAAAAGCCGCTACCGCCGAGCGCAGATGGAAGGCATATCCCACTCGACTTGTCAAGGAAACGGTGTGATCATCTCATCGACGAGCGCACTAAGAAGTCGTACGCCAGTAATTTTATTCGGTCCAGTCGATACACGATATGGAGTTTCCTGCCCAAACAACTCCTGTTTCAGTTCAGTAAGATGGGCAACTTCTACTTCCTTGTCGTCGGTATCATTCAGGCCATCCCGGGACTCAGCACTACGGGCCAGTGGACAACCATTGCACCTCTCGCCGTGTTTGTGTCACTATCAATGGCCAAGGAAGGATACGACGACTACCGCCGGTATCTGTTGGCCAAGACGGAAAATTTGAGTCGCGCATGGGTTTTGGGCGAACGATCCAAGAAGGCGACTGCGAGGATGAAGAGGCACAAGGATGGCGAAGTTGCGGAATACTCGGCAGATGGATGGACCGAGATTGAATGGCAGGACCTCAAGGTTGGCGACGTTGTCAGACTTCAACGTGACGACGACATTCCGGCGGACATTGTCCTTCTATATGCGTCCGGGCCTAACGGTACCGCTTACATCGAAACTATGGCTTTGGACGGCGAGACGAATTTGAAGGCGAAAAGAGCCTCACCCATTCTTGCTGAAAGGTGTCAAACCCTGCAAGGCATTGAGTCTTGCCAGGCAACCATCGTTTCCGAGGACCCGAACCTGGATCTTTACAGGTATGACGGACGTGTCACTGTCAATGGAGAGACACTACCGCTGTCACTCGACAATGTCATCTACCGCGGCTCCACGGTGCGAAACACGACAGAAGCTATCGGCATCGTCGTGAACACGGGTGAAGAATGCAAGATCCGAATGAACGCCCACAAGCACGTACGCACAAAAGCACCCGCCATGCAGCGCGTCCTTAACAGAATCGTCGTTTGGCTCATAGTAGTGCTACTCGGCCTCAGCAGCGGTCTTACCTTGGGTCACTATCTGTGGCGAGACCCCGCCGAGTCTTCTTGGTACTTCATGGGTGAACGCATTAGTATGAGGAAGATCTTCATTGCTTTCATACTCATGTTCAACACACTCATTCCGCTTTCGTTGTACATCAGTTTGGAGATCATCAAGATCATACAGTTTTACATGATGGGAGACGTCGAGATGTACGACCCGGTCACCAATACGCCAATGGTCGCCAACACCACAACGATCCTCGAAGACTTGGGTCAAGTCAACTACGTCTTCTCGGACAAGACAGGCACCTTGACGGAGAACGTGATGCGCTTCAGAAAGATGAGCGTCGCCGGCACCGCATGGCTGCACGATATGGACATTGAACGAGACGAACACGCCAAGCAGAAGTTGATCGAGATGGCCCGGAAGAAGCGTAAGGGAAAAGGAAAGGATAGGAATCGAGAAAAGACGACGAGTGACCACGACAATCACTCTTCGTTGACACCAGCACAAGGAAGGTCATCCATCAGCACTTATGGACGAGGACGCTCTACAAGTCGGGCCCCTCAAGCCGAGCCCGAACTCAAGACGGAAGATCTCCTTGACTATCTGCGACGCAAACCAGATACTGTCTTTTCCAAGAAAGCCAAGCAATTCCTACTCTGCATCGCTCTCTGTCACACATGTTTACCCGAGACAAAGGAAGACGGCGAGATCGAATACCAAGCTGCCTCTCCTGATGAGCTTGCTTTGGTTGAAGCTGCAAGAGATCTTGGCTACCTCCTCATTGACCGGCCTGCGCAATCAGTCATTCTCCAAATGCCCGAAGCTGATGGAACGATTAAAAGAGAAACGTACCAGGTACTAGATGTCATTGAGTTTAGCAGTCAAAGGAAGAGGATGTCCATCATCATGCGTATGCCGGACGGCAGAGTATGTGTATTCTGCAAAGGCGCTGACAACGTCATCTTGCCTCGTCTCAAGCTGAGCGGTCTTGCCACACAAAAGGCGAGCGACGTCAACCGGAGAGCCTCGATTCGTAGGAGTGTGGAGAGGGAAAAGGCACAACAACGCCTCAGCACAAGTGGAACACCCCGCAGCAGCTTCGTCATTGGGAGAACGTCAATGTCAGATCGACGTAGCATGATGAATCAGAGAATCTCTGGTGACATGCTCAGGCGATCCAGCGCCGTTACCGACGACGCCGACGCATGGAATTCACGCAGAGGTTCGGCAGACATCCTCTCACCCATGAGCGCCCACGAGATTTGGTCATCGCCACGTCACAGCATGGCCATGTCAGCGAACGAGGATGAAGTGGACGACTTCATTGACGAGTCCGTGGCTCTCAACGAGGGCACCGTTCTCGAACGATGCTTCACGCACATCAACGAGTTTGCTTCGGAGGGCCTGCGGACTTTACTTTACGGTTACCGATATATTAGCGAGGATGATTACAACACGTGGAAAAGGATCTATCATGATGCCACCACCAGCTTGGATAATCGACAAGAAAAGATTGAGGCGGCTGGTGAGCTCATCGAGGATAAGTTCGAGCTTGCTGGTGCCACCGCCATCGAGGATCGGTTGCAAGAGGGCGTACCAGAAACGATTGAAAAACTCCGTCGCGCCGAGATCAAGGTTTGGATGTTGACGGGAGATAAGCGCGAGACTGCCATCAATATCGGTCACTCTGCCGGCCTGTGCAAGCCATTCTCCGAGGTTTTCATCCTGGATGCTACCATGGGCAATCTGCAGGAGTCCATCCTGTCGACCCTGGGTGAAGTGGCCCGGGGTATGGCGCCCCACGCGGTAGTAGTAGTCGACGGTCAGACCTTGGGTATCATTGAGGGAGACGAGGACCTCAGCTTCCTCTTCTTCGACCTTGTAGTGAGGGTCGACTCGGTCATTTGCTGTCGCGCTTCTCCCTCGCAAAAGGCCACTCTCGTCAAGCGTATTCGCCGACAAGTACCTCACTCCCTGACTCTAGCCATTGGCGACGGCGCCAACGACATCGGCATGATCCAAGCTTCGCATGTTGGTATCGGTATCTCGGGCCGCGAAGGTCTCCAAGCCGCTCGCATTTCCGACTACGCCATTGCGCAATTCCGCTTCTTGCAGCGTCTTCTCTTTGTCCACGGCCGCTGGAACTACCTTAGAACTGGCAGATATATTCTCGCCACTTTTTGGAAGGAAATTGTCTTTTTCTTACCACAGGCTTACTTCCAGCGTTACACGGGATACACGGGAACGTCTCTATATGAAAATTGGAGTTTGACGGTGTTCAATACTTTCTTTACCTCACTCGCGGTTATCTTGTTGGGCGGTCTGGAAAAGGATTTGCAAGCTAAGACGCTCCTCGAATTCCCCGAGCTCTACACCTTTGGCCACAAGAACCGAGCTTTCAACATCAAGCTTTATATTGGCTGGACATTCCTCGGGCTGATCGAGTCTCTCATCATTTTTTGGGTGACCTGGGCGGTCTACAGCTCGCTGCCCTTCGATCAGGACACATCGCTCTATGCTATGGGATCCGTTCCCTTTACGGTTGCTGTGGTGTTTATCAACATCAAGTTGCTGTGAGTTACTTCGTGGGGAATTATGCATAATAGTTTGCTAACAATCTTAGGGTTCTTGAGATGGAAAACAAGAACATTATCATTCTGGCCGGGTTTCTCATCTCGGTCGGGGGTTGGTTCTTGTGGAATATCATTCTTTCCGCAGCTTTCCGGCCCATCCTGCGCATCTACCAGCTTCGCCACGCGTTCATTCATAACTTTGGTAGAACGTTGAGCTTCTGGACTACTATTCTCCTTGCACTTGCGACCGTTATCTGCTTGGAGCTAATAGTCGACGCGATACGTCGGGTCTACTGGCCGCGCGATGTTGATATCATGCAACGCCTCGAGAGGAAGGGCTTCAATGCGGATGACGCGGCCGAGGGAATGGAAGGTGGCCACGGCGAGACCTCTGGAACGGTGTTGGAAGTTATCAGCAGCAAGACCAAGTCGGTCTTTGGCCATACCGAGGAGAGGCCCTCGAACCTTGACGGGGCACCTAGGCCAAGTCACTCCACCACTCGGCCTTCATTCCACCAGGCACGGCAGTCTCGAAGGTCGAGAGACGAGTCGGCCGCCAGGTCTTCCACGCCCCCGGTTGAGGAAGCCAACTTTGCAGACCCAGAACTGACTTCAGGGCCAACAAAAAAGCCACGCCTTTCTGTGGCGACGAGGTGGTTGGGGAGTGCAAGGAACACTCCTGTGAATGGCCCCATTGAGCTGCGGTCAACTGGCCAATCATCTAGGTCGTAGGGAGGAAGAGGAGGAGGAGGAGGAGAAAAGAGGTTCGTTGTGTGTGTACATAATTGGCCGTCATGATCTATCATTATGGTCACTTGGACTATCCTTTTCGGGTTTCGGGGTTTTGGTTCTTGTTCTTGATACCACAAAGCATGATGGGTTTCCCTTTTACGTTTGGCGTTTTCAGAGGTCAAACATTAGTCGGCAGTAGATAGCGAGGGACTGCCTACAACAGGCAGGTGTAGTAGTCTGTGTACATACGGGGAAAGACTATGCAAGGAATTCAAGACTCTCTCAACTGTCACGATGATTTCAACTATGATTGTCTGTTGCGTCTGAGGAAATAGAGCCGCCATGCTTTATTATGCATTAGAACAAGTGCGAAGAGCAGGAAGAACCTGGCTGTGGTTTATGTACATGATCATGATTTAGGCGACTAGTGTCGCCTTGTGGGCTTCATGATCGTCTGAGGGTTGGTGATGAGGCTTGGGAGGGTTAGTTGTCCTTCTTCTCGTCCTTGGAGTCTTCCTTGTCTTCGGATTTTTCCTCCTTCTTATCGTCGGACTTCTCCTCCTTCTTATCCTCGGACTTCTCCTCCTTCTTATCCTCGGACTTCTCCTCCTTCTTATCCTCGGACTTCTCCTCCTTCTTGTCGTCAGACTTCTCTTCCTTCTTGTCGTCAGACTTCTCCTCCTTCTTGTCGTCAGACTTCTCTTCCTTCTCCTCACCCTTCTTCTCGTCCTTGGACTCTTCCTTGGGCTTGTCCTCAGACTTTCCCTCCTTCTTCTCATCCTTGGGCTTCTCGAACTTGTCTTCCTTCTTATCCTCTGACTTCTCCTCAGACTTATCGTCCTTCTTCTCCTCGGTCTTGGACTCCTCCTTTTCCTCAGACTTGGACTCCTCTTCCTTCCCCTCCTTCTCCTCAGGCCCATCGTGCTTCTCCTCCTCGTCATGCTTAGCATGAGCGGCGCCGTGGCCCTTGGACGGCGCGGGACCGCTCCACGGCTGGATGACGGCCAGACCCGCGGCGAAAAATACTACTGAGCCAATGGCACTGTATGGCATGGAAAAAGTGGTCAGACACGTCTTCCTCGGGCAAATCTTGACGGCCACGTGTCCCGTTTCACACAAATATGCTCGATTGAAAGAGCCAATTGGTTTCTTAATGGGAATAAAAGGCAATTGACTTACAGGGAAAGCTCACTCTGGGGCTTCGCGCCATGTTGGCTGGCGTAGGTCCTCTGGCCGACCTGGGAACGGAACTGGGGACGGATCGTCCGGCGCGCCGAGGATCGGAGGGCGGAACGCAGGGAAGCTGCTCTGGCGAAAGACATTGTGGAAGTGTGTAGTACGGAGTACAGAGTGAACGCAGGGAAATGCTTCGAGTCGCTACAATGAAGGAGGGGACTTCAATGGCAAGACCAATTGGATTAGTTGCGAGTGTCCTTTGTAAAGAAAACAAACAGGAGGAAAGGAGAAAAAGAACCAAGAAAGCAACACGGAAAAAACCCGCTTGGGAAGCACGTAAGGAAGCCAAAAGAAGAAAAAAGCTGGGGTTGGATTGGTGTGGCTTGGCCTTGGTTTCTGGCCTGTTGTGCTGGCCTTGAGTGACCTGCCGTCCGAAGTCTAGGAGCTCGGAGCTGCGAGCTCTCTGCCTCTAGCTTGCACCAGCAACGAGCTTCGAGAGAAATCGGCCAATGATGGGGAAGAGGCTGGATAGTTCCAGATGCCGGGGGTGGCTGGTTCTCCCCACAGCTTTGTGGTGACGACATTTGCCGGGGGGTGCCGAAGGGGCCCGCACGACATACCTACCTCGATCCCCCGAAATGGGGAGATGGGAGCTAGGGTCAAAGGTATCGAGGTTCCATTCTATGCTTATCTAATCTTTGACCGGAATAACTCATCGGAGAACGAGTTGGGGCCGGCACGGACCTTACGGTTCTCTCAGGGACTTACATAACGCTCCATCACTGCGGGCAGGAACCTCAGAGCCCAGTGGTAGGGGTCCACTTTCGCGGGGCAAGAACGACCCGGAACTGGTAGCATTGAGGGGACCTCTGCCCGTATTGTCTGAGGTACCTACTGGGCTGTCTAAGGTAATCCCGCCCAACGACATTGACTGGGCCCTTCCTGCCTAGAGCTCTGGAACCTGTGACCCCACCACCAACAACGCCTCTTTCACGAGGGTCTCTGTTGTCGTGATCCAAAGCCAACATCAAAATCTACCAACCCAATTTACCGCCCCGATACACCTCGTATCTTCCGCCATCTTTCCACTTTTCGCGGGACGGTCGACCTTCTTTCCTTTTTCCTCTGCATGGTCAGAGCAATCGATTCCTCGCTGACACGCCACCTGCCGCGATAACCTCGTCACCTCCATCTTCCTCACACATAGCGAACCAGCTCGGACGACACACTCCAAGATGGCTTCGTCAAGCGTCCCCGCGAATCCGACGCCGCAGACGGTGATCCAGCTCGTGCAGAAGCTCGGAGATGCAGACCCGGATTTCCGCTTCATGTCGCTCAACGACCTGCTCCAGGTCCTAGCGAACGGCAAGCCCGACTTCTTGCACCACGATTACAACGTCGCCGCACGTACTGTTGATAGCATCATCAAGGCGCTCGACGATCAGAATGGCGAGGTGCAGAACCTGGCGATCAAATGGTGCGAGAATCAGAACCCCCCCCTCCCAACCAAATCCCTTCTCCAATACCCAACGAGCAATGGCAGGAGCTAACCAGTTTTCCTCCGCAGTCTCGGACCGATGGTCATGAAAGTACCGACCCCGATTATCGCACCGATGATTGAGAAACTCTCTGCAATCAAGCTTAAGAACTCGGTTGACAATGCTGTTCCCTCGCTCGCCCTCCGCGCCGTCATCATGGCCCTCCCGAAACCCACACCTGGCTTGCCGCCCACTAAGGACGTGACAGAATCATACCAAGCCGTTAGCCGCGTTCTGATTCCGCGGCTTTTGGGACCCGGCGGCAAGGTGCAGCCACAGAACCCTTCAAACAACATCCAGTTGCCGCCCGTCCCGCAGGGTCTCCTTAAGGTGGACAAAGACCTTAGCGCAGAGTCGGTGGATATTCTTATCGAGGTTGTCAGATGCTTTGGCGTGATGCTCTCGCCCCTCGAGGTCGAGGCAATGCAAGATGCGGTCATTAGTCTGCTCGAGAACGACAAGACATCATCAGTCGTGAAGAAGAGAGCTGTGGTGGCTACTTCGATACTTGCTATTCACCTGTCGGACGAGTTGCTCAGCCAGATGGTCGACCGAATGGGCAACGACCTGAACAAGGCCGATATCTCTGCAGTCACACGTCGTCTCTATATTTCAATCACTGGCTCCCTGGCAAGATCGATCCCCAATCGTTTCGGTGCATACTTGAAGACTCTGGTGCCCTTCATTCTCCAAGCTTTGAGCGAGGGTGAGCTTGAGAAGCACCTGGAGGAGATCAGCGACGGAGATGACATTGGCCAGGAGTTCAACGAGGTTCGAGAGTCCGCTCTCGTGGCCCTAGAGTCATTCCTCGCCGCTTGCCCGACGCAGATGCGCCCCTTTACCGACCAAACCATCCAGGCAACCCTCAGATACCTGAAGTACGACCCCAACTACGCAATGGGGGATGACGATGAAGATATGGACGTTGATGACGAGGATGAGGACGAGGACGATGACGAATTCGAAGATGATGCTGGGTTTGACGATGACGACGACGCAAGCTGGAAGGTCCGTCGTTGTGCCGCCAAGGCTCTTTACACCCTCATCTCAACCCGTGGAAGTGGTGATTTGTTAGAGAACGGTGTTCTATACAGCCAGGCAGGACCCACTTTGGTCAAGAGATTCGACGAGAGAGAGGAGAACGTCCGTCTAGAAGTCATTGCTTGTTTGTCCCTTCTTGTGCGCAAGACGGGCGAGGGCATGTATCCCACAGATCTCTCACTCGACGACCATGAGCCCGAGGCGCCTAGCTCCATCCCCATCAGCAGAAAACGCAGACGTCAGAGCAGCGGCGGCGGTTCTATGAACACCCCTCATGCTGCCACAGGTCTTACATCCCCCACCCTCGAGAGAATCCCTTCAACTGGACCCCGCGCAGATCTGGCTCGCTTCACCCCGACGATTGTGAAGGCTTCCACCAAGCTGCTCAAGGGCAAGGTTATTCCTACCAAGCAGGCCATCATCAACCTCCTTGATGATATTATCACAGTCCAGCGAGGTGGTCTTTCCGATTACTTCAACGACGCCATCGGCCCCATCATTGAGTCTATTAAACCAACTGGAGCCTCGGCGCTCGCCTCGTCTCTGGCTGCCTCTGGAGGAAATGCGTCCGCGACACCTAGCACTCTCCGTGTCGCCGCCCTGAAACTCACCAGCGATATTGCCAAGACCCACTCGTCGAGTCTTTTGCAGCCGTACCTGACCAAGATAGTGGCTGGTGTCATCTCGGCAGCCAACGATCGATTTTATAAGATCTCAAGTGAAGCCATCGGAACGATTGAGGAGTTGGTGAAGGCAATCACTCCTCCTCGGTCCAAGATGACGGCACAGAAGTTTAAGGGCGAGCTCCAGAAGCTCTTCGACACAATCATGAACAGAATTACTGCGACTGACGCCGACGCTGAAGTCAAACAGCGTGGTATCCACGCCTTGGGAGTCTTGCTATCTAGAACCTCCGGTGCCGATGGCAATGGTCTGATCCCAGCGGATAAGCGACAGGCTGCCTTGACAGCACTTCTTGACCGCCTCAAGAACGAGACTACTCGTCTGGCTGCCGTGAGAGCCGTCGATAACGTCGCAGCTTTCAGCACTAGCAGTGGCCAGCTCGAGACGTCGTGGATTCGGGAGGTCGCGCTGGAGCTTGCAGGACAACTCCGCAAGGCTAACCGGGCTCTTCGCGGTTCTAGCGTGCTTGCACTCAAGCATTTGGTTGTGTCGCCGACCGCCAGAGGCCAATTGGATGCAGACACTATTCAGGGCCTGGTTTCGTCGTTGGTGCCTGTTATTAGCAACAACGACACTCATCTGTTGGCACCAGCTCTGCTCATTCTCGCGACCCTCGTCGAGGAAAACGCCGACCTCGTGGTAACGCAGTCAATGACTGCTACTATCTGCAGTCTGCTCAAATCAAGCTACGCGAGCATCGTCCTAGACCAGATCCTTATTCTTGTCACAAAAGTTGGCGAGAGCGGCGCCGGCCAGCCTCTCATGCAAGGGCTTCTCAATGACGTTAGTATCGAGGGAGATCCCGTTGTCGTGGGCAAGGTCATTGGTGCACTTCTTGTAGCCAGTGGAAGCTCGGCTGGCGTCACAGTTGAAAGCTTCATTTCCGAGTTGCAAACCAGTTCCAGGAACAAGGATGACGCTCGCTTGAGCTTGGCACTTGCAGTGCTCGGCGAGGCTGGTCTCCGTCTTGGAGCCAACTCGCCATTGAAGGCGGAGCTGTTCTTGCAGCAATTCCACGAAGAGCCCGACAAGGTCTCTATCTCAGCTGCAGTGGCTCTTGGCCGTGCTGGTTCGGGCAATGTTTCCGAATACCTTCCAGTCATTCTGGCAACCATGCAGAAGGGTGGTAACACGCAATACTTGCTTATCCAGTCGATAAAGGAGATCTTGCAGCAAGTCAACGTTCTCTCTGCCGAGGTCTCCAAGTTCGCGGCCGACATCTGGCAGCACCTTCTTTCGGCCTCTACTATTCCCGATAACCGAGTGGTGTGCGCGGAATGTGTGGGACGACTGACCATCATCGATTCTCAAACTTTCATGCCTCAGCTTCAGGTAAGTTGAGCAAATTCGCCACGGATAGAGCTAAACTAACAATAATAAAGTCCCTTCTCAGAAATGAGAACCCCGACATCCGAGGCATGTCTGTTCAGGCTGTTCGATACACGCTTCCTGATAGCGACGAGGCTTTTGACGCTATGCTCAAGAATGTCCTTGTCGATATGCTGCTTGTCATGCTGCAGGACTCGGAGATGGACAACCGCCGCTTGGCGATGTCAACACTCAACTCGGCTGCGCACAACAAGCCCGATCTTATCCTGCCTCACCTTGGCGAGCTGATGCCGTTTGTGTTGACCGAGTCGGTGATCAAGCCTCAGTTGATCAGAGAGGTCATGATGGGCCCTTTCAAACATATGGTGGATGATGGCCTTGAAGTCCGAAAGGTATGTCAAGTCTTATTTCGAAAGGTTGGTCGCGGCTATTGCTAACCACAAATACAGAGCGCTTACGAGACCTTGTACGCTCTCATGGAGACGGCCTTCTCACGAATCAACAACATCGACTTTTACGACCGCGTGGTCGCTGGTCTCAAAGACGACAACGACATCCGCAGTCTCTGCAACTTGATGGTGTCTAAGCTTATCTCGCTTGACCCTGATGAGACTAGCCGTCGCCTTGACTCCATCGCCGAGGCATACCGCGCCATCTTGTCCACTAAGCTCAAGGATGGAGCCGTCAAGCAGGATGTGGA